TTGACCAACCACACGGTCCCCCTGTCACTCGTACTGGGCTGCGGTTCCATCAGCATCAATAGACACTCATTGTTCCCTCATCGATGCCCCCTCATCTCTTCTGCCTGGTGACCACTAACGCATTTGGGTCTCTATGCATTTGCCTGTATTTCCTATAAATGGGATCGCGTACTGTTGGTCCTTATGTGATTGACTTAAGAAAGTGGATGTTTTCATTAGCAAATCTGTTAACAGCTGCATCAGGGCATCCGGTCCATGTGGCATCCCGAAGCCCTTTGGCTTCCCCGTTCTCTGCTCAACTGTCCATCCCCCCTCCCCAAATGCACGCTGCACACAAGGAACTTGCTGGGTGACCCTCAGCTAGTGCTGCCCTCTCTGGGCCTCAGTTTCCTCTCTAACTTAGTGGTGTCTGACGTTTACCCTCCAGCCCAGCAGTCCTGCCTGCCCTGGGCTTGGCCCACTGGCCCATGGGGACTAGGGGTTAGAGGCTGGGTGCCGGGCCCACGACCACGTGCCAGGACACAGGTTGATGAGGGTGGGCCTTGCCGTTGCAGACATCGACGAGTGTGCCCTGCCCACCGGGGGCCACATCTGCTCCTACCGCTGCATCAACATTCCCGGGAGTTTCCAGTGCAGCTGTCCCGCGACCGGCTACAGGCTGGCCCCCAATGGCCGAAACTGCCAGGGTGAGCGTGGGGGTGTCCAGAGGTTGATCGGGCCACCCTCAGCTGGGGGGCGCTTCCCTGACCCAGGTGGATCCTGCTCCCACACATAGCTGTCTTGCTGTCCCACCGTGGCCCACCAGCAGACCTGAGGCTGCAGCCCTGCCCTCTGCTGCCCCCTGGAGGCCAGGACGGGGCCGGCAGCCTTCAGGAAGGTGGTCCACCAAGGAGAAAGCTGGGCCCCCCTTTCCACAGCCTTGTGCAGGCTTGCTTGGTCATTCCACAAACCCCTGTTGTGGGCCAGGCCCTGGGCCCAGCGTTTAGGGCAAAACAGTGAGGCAGATGGTAGAGGCTGCTTCCTGAGGGGCTGACCACACACACACACACGCACACACACACACACGTGGGAGGAGGGGTGTGGCCCACGGGTATCCGAGAACATTGGGCTCGGCCCTGTTTCTGAGCAGTAATGGCTGTGAGGTTCCGGCTGGGCCAGGGCTCAGCTCCCACAGAGGCTCCATGAGGGTGGGCTGGGGGTCCGTGTCTGAAGGACACTCTGGGTCCCCCGTGTGTCCTGTAACTGTCTGCTTAATAACTACAATCTTACAAGTGAATGGATTAGTCCAGAATCACACGATGACCTCACCACCCCGGAAATAGAACTGTCACAGGGCTCAGTCTTCTAGCCCCTTCCTCACAAACCCCACAGGATGTCGCTGTAGGGCCTGTGAGGCCCCTGTGTTCTACACGTGTGGGTCATGAGGAGGGCGGCTTTGGTCAAGGGCAGGCTGAGGCTGGGAGTTTGTGGGGACAGGGGCAGCCTGTCTAGGTCTCCGGGTGGACATTGCTGTGTTTTCCTGGTTGTGACCTTTGACACTAGGGAGTATTGAGTGTGCCATCTCTTACCAAATGCCCCCCAGAGGTTGGTGGCATTCCCTGGACCCCACCATCTGGCTGCTCTGAGTGTCTGTGGAGAAGGGATGACTGCCCATCTCTGGGGTCCCCTCTTTATGGTTGCGGGCCTGGTTCCTGCCCACATGGTCACACTCTCTGGGGACAGTGGTCAATGCACACCACCCCTCCCAGCCCCCGTTTCCTCACCTGTACTGTGGGCTGGCGGTCCCGCTCAGTCCCTCTCAGGTCAGGCTGACACGTCTCAGAAGCTGTGTGGGTGGTGCTAGGTGGTTCAGCCTGCACCCTGGCGCTGGTCTGTCTGAACTAACAAACAAAACGTGTGTGTCTGAAGGCAAGTCTCTTGACCTCTCTGGACACCCTCTAAAATGAGAGGGAGACTAGCAGTGGCCACATGAATGGTGAGGAATACGTGGGTTTACTGTGATCCTTGTCAGACCCACTGCAGTGAATAGGAAGTAAATATTCCATAAATACAAATGCCTTTAAACAAAAGAGCTGGCTGGGGCGTGGCTCCAAGGAGCAGCCACTGGAGGGCAAAGGTGACAGGTCCCCCCGGCCTGATGCTGGTTGCTGGGAGGTCTCGATGCCTCTGTCCGCCCTCCGGAAGCTTCCATGGCCTCGGCCTTCACCGTACTGCCTTTGGGTCCTTTGCAGACATTGACGAGTGTGTGGCCGGTATCCACAACTGCTCCATCAATGAGACTTGCTTCAATATCCAGGGTGGCTTCCGCTGCCTGTCCTTCACCTGCCCGGAGAATTACCGCCGCTCTGCAGACACGTAAGTCCCTCGGCCCCGTGCCTCTGTCCGTACAGCCTTCCTGGTGGCCCGGCCCAGGCCCTCCCCCTGGGGTCTGGGGAAATTAGGGTAGCAGCTTGTTCCTGGTCTTTAGGCCCCAGAACACCGGTGAGGCTTCACAGAAAGCCGGGTAGTGCCTTTGAATGAGGCCGAGGTCAGCGGGCTGCTCTCGGAGCAGGCAGAGCCCACAGTGCTGTTCCTGGGTGTTGGTTTCCTCAGCTGTAAGAAGCGGTCCGAATGTACATTGCTTCCTTGGACGAGCAGGTGTGATGGCTGTGGAATTGCCATGAGCCCACGTGATTTATTGGGGTGTCGCTCTTAGGGGACCCCGCCTGGAAGCCAGCTTCCATTTTGCCTGTGTGAACACAGCCTGGAACTTGGGGCTGCGTGGCTGTGTGTCATTGGAACCTCACTCTCCCCAGATGGCTGTGGGGGTGCCTAGGAACCCCTTTGTTGGGGAGCCTGCAGGCTTGGTTCTCGCACAGTGAGTCTCCGATGGTTCATTTAGGGCTGCTGCCGTCGTTTTAGGAGAAGCCCCGTGGTGGGGACCCATCTCAGGAGTGTGGCTTGTGATCCGGCTCCTTCAGCACAGAAGTTCCCCTGGAAGTGCTCTGAGCGGTCACACAGCTGGGTGACCACGTCTCCGAGGTGTCAAGCATTACATCTCTAAGACCTCACGTGTCTCTTGATCAAGAGCCTGTCTATGGGTTCTTGGTTGGACCACCTCCTGCTGACAGGAAGTGTCTGCCTTTGACAGGGAGCCAGGCTGGCTCTACCCTCGAGTGTCCCTGCCCGGCCCAGGGGTTGCACCCCAGCTCGTGGGCTCTGGCCTGGGCTTGAGCACCGAATGCTCAAGTCGGGGGCTGTGTGAACTCACCGGTTGCCGTACACCCTTTGTCATCTGTCTGGCTCCAGGGTGCTCACCACTGGCCTCTCTGCTCTGCCGGGCCTGCTTGGTCCTCTGGCAAGTGCTCTGTCTGCTTGAAAACCCAAACCTCCCACTTCCTTCCGGACCTGGCTGAGGGAAAAGCCATTGCAGAGCCAGTCTGCAGCAGGTGGCATTCCAAACAGCCTACAGGTTACACCATGCCCTGTGGGCTGTGACAGGGCTGCTGTGAGCCACTGAGGAATTGCTAGGTCCCCACCTGAGGCCGGGTAGCCGTTTGTCACGGGAAGCTAGCTTACGTGCTGTGCTCCCAGGCTTTTGTTGGCGTCTGGGTTTGAGGTTCTGGAAGATGGGTTGTTGTGCGACTTGACTTCTAACGCAAACGGCCACGAGACCAAGGGGGAGGAGGCTGCCCTGTGCTGGGCCTGCAGCCCTCCCGAGCCCCAAAGTGGGTGGGTCTGCCGCTCGGGCCATGGTGGGCTAAACCAGCCCCGCACCTTGTGTCGGCTGGTGCTGTGGGGCCCTTCACCGCCCCCTCTGGGCCGGGAAAGCAGTTGCTTATTTGGGACACGTTCTCCGATGGCCTGCCGTGCACAAGAGTTAGCCGAGTTCTGATAATTCCTGCAAGTGCTGAGATGAGGCCCCCGACCCCGGTCTGGCAGGAAGGGGAAGGGAGAGGCAGGGCCACGTGGGGTTGGCCCTGGTGGAGAGAAGGGGGCCAGAGCCCTGGAGTCAGGCACACAGGGAGGAGACGAGGCAGGATCGGATTGGGGCGTGGGCCTGGGTTCACCAGGGGAAGGAAGGTTCCCGCAGAGACGTGTGGCGGAGGGAGTGGAAGGTGGACTGGAGCAAGGGTACGGGCCTGGATGAACTGAGCAGTGGCAGTGGGCACTTACGGGGAAAACTGGGTGTTGGATTTCTGCCCAGAGAGGTGGCCCAGTGAGCCAGGTGTTCACCTGTGCCGGTCCCTCCCATGGGTTCAGCAGCCTGCTCTGTTGGGATTCTGTCATTCTTGGTGGGAAGTTGGTAAAGCCACGGGGGAGGGTGACGCCTCACCCCTGCCCTTCCAGGCAGGAGAAGGTCCCAGCATTACAGTTACTGAGTCCTTACTGCCTGTCCCCGTAACAGCTGTCCTTGTTAAGACTGACTCGTCTCGCCAGTGCCACCCAGTGGCTGGCACTGAGCAGGGCTGGGGAAGGGGCTGGAGAAGGAGGAGGGGTGAGCGCCTGCCTGGTGATGGCCCTTCTCCCAAGCACTCCGGCCTCCTTGGGATGCTGCGGCGTTCTGGAAAGATCCAGGCTTTGGGATCAGGCTCCGTCGGGTTTGCATCTCACCTCAGCCACTTCCAGAGCATGAGAGCGGGGTTCCTGAGTTTCTCAGGGCCCCCAATTTCTCCTCTATAAAATGGGGGTTCTTGTAGGGTGACCGACCGTGACTCTGGGCAGAACCTCCCTCTGCCTATCCCCATAAAGTTCAGCCGGGGTTCAGCACTGGGGGTATAGGCGGGCACCCTGAGGCATGCCAGCCCTGCCAGTACTTTGGGGTGAAGGGAGGGTGGGTCTTGGCTGTGCAGGAGTCCAGGTTGGCGCCTGACCCCAGAGGCCGTGGCGGGTGAGGGAGAAGGAGGATGCAGGACAGGTGGATGGGCTTTTGGTCCTGGCTCTCACTCACTGGGGCCGTGGCCTTGGGTGTGTCTCCTGGCTCCTTCGCATCCGTTTCTGTGTCTGTAACCTGGTCCCAAATACGTCTGCTCTGCGCGGTGTTGAGGATCAGAGGTGTCTGAGCCCCCTGAAACGCCACACCCCGGCGCGCTGCCGTGAGTGGATCCCGACTCGGGGCGGCCCCGTGTGTCACAGAGGGAGCTGCGCCATAGGGCTTCCTTGGCTGTGACCTTAACAGAAGCAGGTCAGCAGGTGTGTCTTCCTGGTCCGTCTGGGCCTGGACGCTCCACTGACACCTGTTCACGTCCTGACACACGTGAGCTGTCGGCCGGGCGGTGGCTGTGCGTGAGGTACCACGGCCAGGAATCGAACCCGGGTCTCCCGTGTGGAAGGCAGGCATTCCACCCCTGAAGCAGCACTGCCCCAGGAAGCCATTTGCCATGGAGTCCGTTCCACTCCTGGCGACCCGTGTGTTACAGAGAGCTGCTCCGTAGGGTTTCCTGTACTGCAGTCTTTACAGAAGGAGGTGCCCAGGCCTCTCTCCTGTGGCACCATTGGGTGGTTTGACCCACCAACCTCTGTGTTAGTCGTCAGTCGCAACCATTTGCTCCACCTGGGACCTTGACCTGGGTGTGCCCCTGTAGTAGGGGAGATGGAGGAGTGGGGCTCGGGAAGGGCTGTGTGGTGATGTTGCTCACGTACACACAGGCATCTCTCTGGTGACATGTCTGTCATTTGCTGAGCCAGGAGGCAGGGGCCAGCCCGGAACCCAGTGTCGGGGCACAGGAAGTGGAAGTGGGGCCTGGAACCCTCAGTTGAGCAGCCTCGGGGCTTTATCCTGGCCGCCCCTCCTAGGGACGCATCTGTAGCTGACAAGGCACCAACAAGGAGGAGTCTTTGCTCTGCCAGCCCGGGGCGCACCACCGTGTGGGACCAGGCCGGCGCTCTAGGCAGCAGGCTACTGCTCTCGTGGTGCTGACTCCGCAAACCAGAGTTTCCTATTTCACAGCCTCGCTGTTCCTCAAGGCCCTGGGTGGAGCTGATGGTCCGTGATGGCCTCCTGACCTAAAGGTTGGAGGTCCTACCCCCGCCCCCAGAGGCACCACGGAAGACAGGTCTGTGACCTGCTTCCATGGAAAATACAGCTGAGAAAAGTGTCTGGAACTCAGTTCTATACACAGAGGACGCACAGGGCCACCGTGGGTTGGAATAGACTCAGTGACCATGGGATTTTTTTTCTCCATCGTTATCAAAAATCCAAGAGAACTTCTTTTCTGACTCCTGGAAAACAATTTTAAAAGTCTGAGAGTTGTGTTTAGGAGGACAGTGGCTGACAGCTCTGTGGGTACATACAACAATGAGAGTCCTTGACAGGTGGGATTTGAGCCTCTGTCTCTCTGTGTGTGTCTCTCTGTGTGTGTCTGTGTGTGTCTCTCTGTGTGTCTCTGTGCATCTCTCCATGTGTCTCTGCGTGTACGTCTCTCTCTCCATGTCTCTCTGTCTCTCCGTGTGTGTATCTCTCTCTCCCTCCCTATGTGTCTCCCTCTGTATCTCTCTCCATATGTCTCTGTGTGTGTGTCTCTGTGTATCTCTCTCCCGGTGTCTCTGAGTGTGTCTCTCTGTCTCTACCTCAGCCTCCTTGGCCCAAGCCTTCGTCTCTTCACCATCTGGGTCTGGCCGTGTGGGACCTGTCAGGCTTGGCCTTGCAGACACCCCCTGGCTGTTAAGATCCTGCCTGCAGGGAGGACGTGGCCGAGCTGTCCCCGAGCTGCCATGAGGCTGGTGTAACCGCTTTCTTTCTTCAGTGGAGCCCAGTCCTCACTGCTGGGCTCTTGGAAGTCAGAGTGTGACGGGGCCACTGTGGCTGCCGTCTCCTGGGGAAGGGGTCCTGTTTGTCGTAGCCCGAGAGTGTGACGTAGGTGGGCTGAGAGGGACGAGCCCTTGATGCCCCTCTGCTGGAGCTCGTTTCCAGAACAGCAGGAGCAGGAGAGGCAGGTAACCTAGCTGCGTGACTAGAAGCACCTGGCCAGCCGGGGGTGGCTGGGACGCTGAGCCTCCCCGGGGAAGGATTTGCCTGGAGGGCCTGTTTGCACCAGTCTGTGGGGTCTTTCTGTAACTGGTTTTCGTGGAACTTGGGGTGTCATGATCAGATGTGTTGAATAATTGGGGCACGTTGTTCTCTAGTGCATGACATGACACATGACGAGATGTGACAAGGAGACGTGTCCATGGAACCTGGGGTGTGTGGTCCCTGCAGCCTGGGCGGGGCAGGGTGCCCATACCCTGCCTATCACATTGTCAGTGATGACAGCCCCTCCCCTGTCCAGCAGCCAGGCTAACACAGGTGTTGTGCCAGGCCCAGTCTGATAGGCTGCTTGCCAGGTGCAGGGGTTTCAGCTCTGAGGTAGTGTAATTTCTGGAGTGTGTCGGTCACT